AACATAATACTCTATAAGTATTGTAGAATTTAATGCATAGAGATTATTCTCAATAATTCTTTTTTTGACTTTCACGTTATTGCATTATTATTTTTAAATAATTTAAATTAACCTGAGATTTTAAATAAAATGTTCGAAATATATTAAAGAATATATAAATATCATGAATATAATTATAATTAAGAATTTTGAGAATTGTATAGTTTTTATGTAATCTTATTTTTTTACGAGATAATTATGCTTAATAAAATTGAAAAGTATACAAAGTCTGTTGCACATATCATAATGGATATTTTCTTTACTGTAATTAGTTTAATAAAATAAAATTTTGTTTGTTAATAATTAGTTCTACAATGAATAAATTAAATATTGGTAATAGTAGTATTATAATAAATAAAATATATATAATATTATTTACAATAACAAAATAACAATAAACAATTATAATAAAAGAATAATTAATAACATGTAAAATATTTAAAACATTGAGAAAAAAGAGATTTTATATATTACATTGTTTCTGAGTTACTATTGCAACCAGCATCGTTAATAGCTTCCAATAAAGCTGCTGGATTTGGACTTGCTGCAGTGGCATAAATTACAAAATTAGCATCTATTAGACTTTGTTTAGTCGTAGGACCAATTGCTACTGCTTTTATATTTTTTATATAATCAGGACGTTTCTTTAATATGGATACAAGGTAATCTACACTAGATGGACTAAAAAAGACAAATATTTTTGGTATAGAACCAATGATATTTAAGAAATCAACTTCTAATGATTCTCTAATTATGGTCCGATAAGCAACAAGTTTGCATAGATTAATTCTATTTTGAGAAAGAACCTGTTCAACGGTTTCACGTGCAATTTCACTGCAAGGGTATAACAGCGGTTTTGTTATTTTTTTCATATCAGAAATAATGATCTCTGTAAGATCCTTGATATTACCGGATTGACTACCTAAACAACATTCTAAACCAAGGCAATTTTCTGCGAGAGATGCAGTTGCAGGGCCAACACAATATGCTGGTAATTTTTGCCACCGGCTTAGAGATATCTTATCGTCCTTGACTATTTGACATATTGCTTCTACAGCACGTTGACTAGTCAATATTAAACCTACATTAACATATATATGTTGTTGTTTATATCAAATCACATGTAATGAATCTAAAATATTTATATATTACCATAATAATTGTCAGGTGTTTCTAAGCACATTTTTAAATCTGAGCTATTAATGAATTCAAATCGTGAGGTATATAAATAATCACAATTGTAACCAGCTGATTGTAAAGTATGCAAATAATTGTCTTCTTTTAAAGTTTGTTCAGGCAATCCTCTACATAGAACTATGCTATCACATAATTTTGCCATGATAAGATAAATTATATTATACTAACAGATTAATGTTATTATATTAACAGATTAATGATTTAAATATTGTTATCTTAGCAAACTGGAAAAGATATTACTTTCAATACGGAGCTGATATAACCACAACATTAAATAAAACACGTATGAGAATAAATAAATCACTAAAACATTTCTTTTTTTCAAACGTAAACTCGTAAGCCTGGATAACTAATAAAGAAATAAAAATTGAATTATCATTCTTATAGACACTCAATTATATTCTCGAAATTTTAAATCATTTTATTACTTGCTCAGCATTTCTAAGACAATTTTTTAAGAATTTCTCTCATTGGTTCTGTTCTCGACCAATGAGCTTAACGCATGTAAGTAGCTGTCAGTGAGTAGACTATCTTAAGGGAATTAATATTATGGTACAATATTTGACATAAGTAAATTAATAAACTGCTGATAAAGAGTGAAAATAGTAAAAGAAAATAAATTTTTGGTATGTATATTAAATATTTATAATATTGTAATTATTTTTATATAAATTTGAAAATTGATTTCTATAGAACAGTGTTTCTCAAACTTTTAGAATGTTAGACATTCTTGTTGAATTTAGGTTATTTCAAAACCTATTTTCAATTAGGAAAACCAAGTAATGCAAAAATCAACAAACCCTCCTAAAATAACAAAAAATTAATCAAACGTAATAATTTAGATTGCGTGATTTTGTAATTTGTTCTTGTAAAAAATTATTAATTGTAATAACAACTCTCTTACATAATCTAATTATGAAAATTACCAAGTTACAATTTTAGTACAGTCTTATAATTATTTTAATTAAAATCTTCTAACAAAATATATTCAGTCTAAAATTACTGATAGGATTGATAACATTCTGCATAAATTGGTTGATAATTGTAAGTGTAAGAAGTGTAATAGGTAGAAATTATGAATAAGCCTAATTTCGTTGTCATTTTTATTGAAACACTCTTTTAGGGTACATAACTTATTGTCTAAATAAGCAGTGAAAGAACGTATAAAAAAAAATGGGAAATGAACAATTTCTTATCGATCACAAAGTGGATGTTTATCCTTCTTACTATTATACTAAACATGTTAAACTTATATAGACGAAGGCACAACGGTCCTCGACCCTTACGCATTGATTATTTTGCCACGAAAACGTGATTATGGACTAAATAATCAGCTTGTTTCTTACTTTAACTCTCTCTCCTTATTATTTGTTCCTTCTTTCTTGTTTTTTTCTATTTTTACTGTTTACCTCGTAATCATGGCAAAATTGAACTCTTAGTGAACATTGTAATACAAATATACGCATAAGAGTTCAAGTATATCGTAAAGGGGACCGAGTGCCTTCTATATATTTAATTAGATAAACACATAATATTTAATCATGATAATAAAAAAATTTATGCCTTTTAACGTAAACTATCTCTTATTGTACAACGCCGATATATCTAGCTTATAATTAATTAATCAATTAATTCATTATTTTAACCGTACTATATTCTTTCTCAATTGCAGCTCGATTAATAGAAAAATAGAAAAAGAAAATGGAAGAAGAAAATGCTGTATGGGAAAACGAAGAAAGAGGAGGCATCATCATATCGGCCCATTCGTTCAGGATATGTATGTATTTTTTTGTTTGGTCTCGCAGGTGAAATTTTTCATTTGAAAATTTATGAAAATCATAATAGTATGCTTTTTTATAAAACACACCCTGAGAGCCCAATAACGGTTATATATAAATCTATTCTAAATTGTAAAAACCCTAATCTATACTATTATTCGTATAATAATAATAATATAATAATATTAATAATATAATAATAATAATAATAATAATACATATGTATATATATAATATACTTAAATAATAATCACAAAAATAAGACCATAGTCCGAGCATGCTCCTATTCGAATAATTACTCATAAGTGAGAAAATTATTCAAGTAGCGGTCTCAAACTTAACTTTTAACAAGTTCTATTTAAATGGTTATTAATGCGAACTCGTGATAATGGTCACAAGTATGGTCCTTTCTTTTTCATGAACTCATACTTAAATTACATATAAAACAACGTAATAATTATGTGCAGTTTTGCTTTTTTTTTTTTTTTTTTTGTTTTTTTTAGACTCTGTGATATTTATACTCTACTACGGCTTATCGAATCGTAATACACACAAATATTTATTTCGATAAGTAATTTCAGTTATGATCGGTTGGCACAAGAAACATCGGCGAGTACAAGAAAATGTAAAGATTTACATTTAAAAAAAAAAAACANGAACTCGTGATAATGGTCACAAGTATGGTCCTTTCTTTTTCATGAACTCATACTTAAATTACATATAAAACAACGTAATAATTATGTGCAGTTTTTTTTTTTTTTTTTTTTTTTTAGTTTATTTTAGACTCTGAGATCTTTATACTCTACTACGGCTTATCGAACACACATACACACACACGATTTGTTCGATAAGTAATTTCAGTTATGATCGGTTGGCACAAGAAACATCGGCGAGTACAAGAAAATGTAAAGATTTACATTTAAAAAAAAAAAACAATAAGAAAGAAAAAAATAAATGCTTTTCTAGATGAGTCAAAACGTAGAACAATTCAACGGGAAAAACAATTGTCGTTTTTTCGTTAGCTTTTTATCCCCCCATTCAAGATTGGACAATACTTTTTATCCTTACTTCCTAAAAGAATTATCAAAAAAAAATAATAAAAATCGTGCTAGTTCTCCAATTAAATGTCACTTTCTAACTGCCTTGGTTTGATTTTGCATTCGTTTGTTATTAACAATGAAAAATATTTCGTGCAAAAAGGGAAAAAGTTGAAATTTATTTAGATTGATTTTATTTGTTTGTTCTTTTTTCAAAGTGTTCGTTTGACACGTCGAATAGTTAAAATCTTATCGTTGTCTATTGCACGGAATGATTTATTTATTTATTTAAGTTTCTCGTTGTTAGCTCTTTTCGTGAATCGTTTAAACATTTTATATAAAGTAATCGAAGCTTTCTTCGAACTTGGACATTGTACGTGTAATGTATCATATATATATATATTTGATGATATAACGCACATAACACGGACAATTGTATTAGGTAATATGCACTATCGGTACGATATAACTTAAATCTACGCGTTTATAAAATAGGGTAAAAATAGAAAAGTATGACTTAAGTACAACCACAAAACTTGGTCATTATTATGGCATTCATGTTCTTATCTATAATCCATTATAAGATTAATTAATTAAATGCTCACTTTTTTTTGTTATCTTTCCTCACTTCTTTTTATCTTTCTTCCTTTCTTTCTTTCTTTTTTTCTTTTTTTCTTATTTCTCTCTTTCTATCTTTCTCATTTTCTGATTACTCTATTTTAATATGAAATATCTCACCATCAGTTAGATTTTTTTCATGCTTTCATTCGTGTTATCAAATATTATTCTCTCGTGATATAAACACCGAACGGAATTCATATGTTTTATCGTGTTTTAAAATTTCTCTTTTACGTTAGTTTGAAATTTGTAAAGATAATTTTCATTAGTTCATCGAAATTAAATTATTTAGTTATTGTTTCAAACACAAACATTTATAAATAAATTTCTGTTCTGTTATATAAATTTTCTTTTCCTTTTTTGTTTTTTTTTAATTAATTTTTTCATCTTTTTTTCCAAACACAGTTTCATCATTTTATTCGAAACTACTCCGAAGAGTTACAGTAATTTTTTTTCGAAATTTTTCTATTATTATATATCTCTTGTTTTTTTTTTCTTTTTTTATTCTTTATATTTTACATCTATATATCTATCTTTTTTTCTTTCTTTCTTTCTTTCTTTCTATATAAGATCGTATTTATTATGTTAGCTCAATCGATCGAATAGAAACGATATGGCCGACTTTCACGGGCATAAAAGTTAAATAATACAAAATGTTTTGTCAGTTATTTCTCAAATTTTTTTTTTCTCTCTCTCTCTCTCTATCATTCTCTGGCTATAAATTTTGATTAGTCGGAGACTAAAGAAGAGTCCTTGATCTTTTCTTGGGTCCGCTCTTTTGCCTTCTTTAGCCCTTCGTCTGTCGATCTAAAAATAAAAGAAAAGTAAATATTTAGAGAATTCAAATATCCATATTGAATATATATATATAATATATATTTTATAATATATACACAATATATAAATT